TGAGAGCTCTATATTGTTCTTTATGTTGTTCCGAAAACGGGACGCAGTTGGTTTTCTACGTACAAACTGCATAACTTTTTATATTAAGCNAATATTACTACAATCTGACGCCAAAAGCTGTAAACTCAGTCGGTAAATNGACGGAGTTCGACCGTCAGTTTAGGATCCCCTTAAGGGAGTAGACGGTATCTCTCATATATGTGATGCAAATCCAGCATCACACACGCACGCACGCACGCACACAAAATATAATGCTATATATGTCCGGGTTTTTAATATACATGTATAATTATAATGACATCGGTAATTCCATACAATTGTAAAGATATACATATACATATGCATATATATGTATATATATATATACACACACACACACACACTTTTGAATTACAATATAAATTTTTATACTGTGAAGACGCAATGATTCAATTTATTACAAACACACACGCACACACACACGCACGCACGCATACACACACGCACACACACACACACATATATATGCATTTGTGAAACAGGCCAATAATTTTAAGTTTTGAGACACAAGTAGACAAAGAAAGCATTGACATTATCGATACAACGCAGTTATGGATCAAATGATTGCTACAATTAGTTAGGGCGGCGCCCGTTGGCGCTATTTACCGCTAGGGAATACCGTTCCACTTACCCCTAGCCCCCGCGTCCACGAAACGAATTTTTGACTTCGAGTGTACATTTTATTTCACATCATTTTCTACCATTTTATTTTATTTCATCTTTTATCAATTTACTTTACTTCATTTAATTTCGACACTTTTTTTTCTCAATATCTCATTCACAAAATTTTTAACATTTTTTTTTTTTAACTAATAAATGAATGAGAAGTCGTTGAGAGCCGTTCACTGGATGTTAAACGAGAAATATGTCTATATATATATGTGCGTGTGTACACATATATAATCGAATTCACGTTTTTCATGTGAGTTTTTTGAATTGTAATTACAATTCTAATAATCATATAGGATGCTCAATTTGCATCTCGTATATGAAGAAACCCGAATATCTCCCCAAATTAATTTAAAATATTGCGAAAAAAACTCCTCAGCCAGGAGTCGAACCTGGAATCTCCGGCTTTCCAGGCCGTCGCCTTCCCTGTTAGGCTACCGAGGCACTTATCATTCATTTATTAGTTAAGAGGGTACTGGATACCGACTATAGCGACCTGTAAACCGACGTTCTTAAATCAGATTCTGTGTCGTATTTACTGCATCAAATCCAAAATGCTTCTCCAGAAATAAGTAAATAGTGCTAAGAATTGGCGCTTGTTCTTTGGAATGTCAAAATTAGGCACAAATTTTTTCTTATACAGTTTCCTCCTATAACCTCACCATATATTCATGTATGTAGAATTATTTCTAAGCTTATATAAGTATTTTCAGAGAAAGAGCGCCCAACATACGACAAAAACAAATCGAATGAGCTGTTCAAATTATGATTTGACTATCTCATTGATGAGAGAAACCTAATTTCGTGATGATGTGTATTTGATATCATATACTATCATTATGAATGAAAAACAAGTTCAAAAAAGCATTATATACCCAGTTTCAAAAGCTTTATATAGTTTTATATTTATTTGCATCTGTAGAAGCGCTTTTAATGTTGTGCAGTAAATAAAAAAATTAAAAAATAAAGAAATTTATGTTATAAAAACGTCGGTTTACAGGTCTTTATAGTCGGTATCCAGTACTGCCTTAAAGACTTCACAGACCCCGAGATGAATTTCAGTTTTAATTGTTAAATTTCACGCTGTCGTACGAAGCGTTATCAGTATCAAAAACATCTTTAAGAGATGTACATAGTATTGCGAGACAAACTCCAAGTGCCTCGGTAGCCTAACAGGGAAGGCGATGACCCGGAAAGCCGGAGATTCCAGGTTCGACTCCTGGCTGAGAAGTTTATTTTGCAATATTTTAAATTAATTTGGGGGGATATTTGGGGTTCTTCATATACGAGATGCAAATTGAGCATCCTATATGATTATTAGAATTGTAATTACAATTCAAAAAACTCACGTAAAAAACGTGAATTCGATTATATATGTGTACACACGCACATATATATATATAGACATATTTCTCGCATAACATCCAGCGAACGGCTCTCAACGACTTATCATTCATTTATTAGTTAAAGACTTCACAGAGCCCGAGATGAATTTCAGTTTTAATTGTTAAATTTGTAACATCTTTTGTAAAAAAAACTTTCCGGAACTTCAGCACATGTCACTTGACTTTGACTAAGGACCTGTTTTTATCTCAAATCTGCGATTTCGAATCTTGTAAGTAATTATTAAGTTCATATAACTCTTTACACACATTATGAATAATTTCGTCACATTTGTAATTTACGTTTTGTAGATTTCTATTTATTACATTGAGAAAGACCACATCCATTCAATGAAACGTTTGTGATAACTAAACAGTAAAAAAAAAAAAAATTTTCACAATACACCTGACACCAGTGTTTTGGCTCCAGAAGGCCTTCATTTTGCTTTGCATTTCATTGGAGCTGTATATTCGTAAATTTAGATTAAAGTATTAGTAACTTGGTTTATAACGCAATTAATTATATGAAAAATACAAATAACCTAAGACATAAAATAATAATGACATAATAATTATTAAATTCTTTTATTTCTCATGTCAATGAAAAAGAAACAGCAAAATGTCATATTAACAATTTTTGAAAACATATATAACTAATTATACTGTTCCATAGCGCATATTTTTCAGAAATTAAACAAAAATATTTGATGTATTAAATATCAAAACTGTGTCAAAATTGTTCTTAACTTTATTATATTAAAGCAAGTACTCTGATTGTAATATAAAATCAATTCCATCGGTAGAATAAATGTTATATATTCCCACACACATACACATTAATGTTTAGATGAAACAACTGCAGATTTATTAATTACATACAAGACCTGTAAAAAAATTAAATTATATATATGTATATACATATATACATACATACAGAGAATATCCAATAATAGCCATAGGCAGATAGCGAAAGAAAGAGCCATACTGAGTCAAAAAGTTCTTTACAATTTGCAATAAGTGACGACTTTATTAATTAATAAAAAACCCGTTAATTATCTTATTAAAGAATGTCAAGGACATGCTTTTGCGTGTAATGAGCCTATTGTTAGCTATTAATATTGAGTCAATATTCAGGGTGTCTGAAAACTCGATACAGTCGAAGTATGAGAATAAATTAAGTCAACCTAAACACAAAAGTTATATAAAGAAAAATGACTTACTTCATGCAATATTCTAACAGCAAGAAGTAAAGCAACCAAGCGAGTGGCGTGTGACATAGCTTCTTACGATTAGGTGATTTTCACGACTGAAAATCATACATGTCCACAGTGTCCAGACCATCGCTTCTCACGCGTCACATAAGTTTTATTTAATTACTTAATAAGTACTGCGAATTTTGCAAAATGACTCTTCAGTTCAGATTAGTCTAATTTATCTTCACACTTTGGCGCGGTTAAAATTTTTCAGACTTGTATATACACATATACACACAGAATGTTCGGGTGTGTGTGAAGTTGGCTCCGCGCTTTTTAAATTTCGTAGTTTTAATAATTATGCCGTATTGTGTTACGTTTGTACCGATTTGTGCTGCAAACCGCAGCTCAATATTTTAAACAATTTTTCAGAATGTTTAAATGCGGCGAGAAACGCATCAGTAGAATAATCTGTAACGATTTCAAGATGAATGGCTGAAGTGCTAAGACAAACGAACAGAGCAATCCAAGATTTGTATGAGCGAGCGTTTCTGCCTTTCTCAGGACTTAAAAGTGTAAGGACCGGCATAGTCTAAACCAGAATGAAGAAAAGCACGAGAGAGATTTACTCGAGAAGCAGGCAAATGTCCCATTATTTGTTGTGCTTGAGTCCGGCGATAGCGAGCACATTTAATGCATTTAAGGATGAATGAACGAACCGGAGCTCTGCCTCCTAGAATCCAGTATGTGTTTCGGATGTAGGTCACAGTGTCTTGAATGGAACCATGTAAAGTTTGTTCATGTGCATCCTGGATGATCAAAGTGCTGAAAGAGGAGTGTTTTGGAATGATATAAGAATGTTTGGCAGAATGTTCGAGTGATGAGTTGGCTAATCGTCCTCTCACACGTAGCAAACCTTGATCACCTATGTACGGACATAGTCGAATAAGGGGGTTTGACTTTGGTAAATCCGTCTTGTCCAGAAGTAATTTGATTTCGTTGGCAAAGTAATTTTGTTGGATTTTTTGAATCCAGAATTTTTGAGCTTCCGTAATTTCTGCGGGATTAATAGCAAACCTGAAAGAAGTTTTTGGAATCTGTTTCAGGCATAGGATGACTCTCTTGCACAAGGCTGTTATACGTAAAAGTCGTTTAAGGGACGAATATCGCAAAATGAGATCCCAGATACGCTCTTGAAATTTGGACGATTGTAAGGTTGTAGCGCTTAAAGGGAAGCGTTCTTCTAAAAGTTGTTGATTCGAGTCAGAAGTTGGAATGTGATTCTGCCATTTTGCAGGTTCTTCTGATAGCCAAACAGGACCTTTCCACCAGAGTTGGAAATCACAAAGTTGTGAAGCTGACAAACCTCTACTGGCACAATCAGCTGGGTTGTTTCTTCCGGAAACGTGTATCCACCGAGCTTAAGGCAAAGTTTCTTGAATAAAGCACACACGGTTTTGGATGAAATCCTTCCAACAAGAAGGGTGACTGTTCAGCCACGTGAAAACAATTTTAGAATCTGTCCAAAGATAGCACACGGAATTTTGCAAGCTTAAAACTCGTAGAACCAGAGAAGTCAGTTTCGTAAGCATGACGGCAGCTGACAATTCAAGCCGAGGAATCGTTATGCGTTTTAAAGGTGCGACTTTTGTTTTTGAGCAGAGGATGGACGAGCTCATTTCGTTGTTCAGGTAAATAGTTTTCACATAGATAACAGCAGCCAAAGCTGATTGAGAAGCGTCGCAGAATCCATGTATTTTCAAGAAGGTTGTATCCATCCACCTTGGGATTTCAATAATCTCAACATCAACAATTGATTGAAGTATTTCTTGCCAAGTTTGCAATTGAGAACAAGGTAACACTTCGTCCCAACATAATTTAATCGCCCATAATTCTTGTAAGAAAACTTTAGCCTTGATGATAATTGGAGAAAGAAGCCCGAGAGGATCGAAATATTGCACAATGTGAGACAATACGATGCGTTTTATTGTATGGGTAGATGGAGATTTACTTAAATTAAATTGAAGAGTGTCTGAAGTGGTATTCCATGATAATCCTAGCGCGTGGATGATGTTATCATGAATAGACACTGAATTTACAGGATTGTGATATGAGTTTTCGATATAATCGAGCACTGAAGAGTGGTTACTCGTCCATTTTCTTAAGGGAAAGCCGCCCGCCATGCAAAGTTGATAGACTTGTAGAGCTTGTTCTCGTGTTCTCTCGATCGTATCAGCTCCTCCATAAACATCGTCGACGTACTGAGCTTTCTTAATTATTTCAGTTGCTAAAGGAAAATTATGACCTTCGATTAACTGAAGAACGGTCTTGAGAACTAGATAAGGCGCACATGCAAGGCCATAAGTAACTGTAGATAGCTTGAACGAAATGAGTTTCTGATTATCTAGCCATAAGATGTGTTGAAATTTTTGATCGTCGGGATGAACTTGAATTTGTCTGTACATTTTCTTCACGTTGCACGAGTAGGTGTACTGATATTGGCGAAACTGAATAAGGACTTCAAAAATATCGGTTTGAAGTTTTGGACCAGTATGCAAACTTTCATTTAGTGTTAACCCGTCAACTACAGCACAAGACACGTTAAAAACGACTCGTAGTTTAGTTGTGGTACTACTTTCTCGAATGACACCGTAATGGGGAAGATAAAAACTCTGCTTCGGTTCGAACTCCTCGGTAGGAACTCTGATCATGTGTTGAAGGTTTTCATATTCAAAAAGAAAAGCGGAATAAGCTTGATAATACGTTTGATCCTTTTGAAATTTCCGTTGGAGATGACTTAACATGCGCATTGCAGAAGGCTTTGAATTGCCTAATTGATCAGGTGGTAATCTAAAGAAAAGACGAACTATGTATCTCTCGGTAGGATCGCGAGAGTGAGTAGAAGCAAAGTGTTCTTCGCAATCCTTTTCAATAGGAGACATTGTTGCGCCCTGAGAAAGAGAGATTTCTTCTTGGTGCCAAAACCGTTCCATTAATTCATAAAGGTCATGATCAGATGAGCAGTGATAAATCTGAGATATCTCGGTTGGCGGGAGCAACATTGGTGGGACCTGAGACAATCCAACCTAGTTTTGTTAATTGAGCCATTAGAGCATCTAAAGGTCCTGTAATGATAGAACCCTCCAAAAGATGTTCATATATCTCTGCACCAATAATGATATCAATATTTCCTGGTTTGGAAAAGTCTGCGAGAGAAAGATTTTGCAAATGAAGCCACGAAGCTAAAGCTGTAAAAGGGAGGCAGTCAATTTAGGAAGAATATATGCGGTGATTAAGATCTCTGAAGAAGAGTCAAAGTGAGGCTTCAACGAAAGCATTACAACACCTCTCGTTTTTCCTGAACTGTCTTTCGACTCCGAATAAACGAAGGTAAGAAGCTTTCCGAGAAATTTGAAGCTGCTGAACCAATTTTTCTGTCACTAAGGACACTTCAGAACCTTGATCTAAAAGAGCACGCGCTGGAAGAACTCTTTCATGTTGATCTACAACGTTGACCTTGGCAGTAGCTAAGAGCACGACTGAACTTGAATCAAAGCTTCCAGGCTGAATGTGATGAACGACCTTAGATCTTTCTAAAGATGGTCGTGACTGTGCCTCTGAAGACGTTTTAGCTTCATCTGAGGTTGGAGTTTTGTGTAAACTCGAATGATGGCGTTTACCACATTTAACGCAGCGTTTCGTTGACTGACAATTTAAGGCTCGGTGATGTCCGAGGCAGTTATAGCAAAGTCCTTTTGTAGAGACAAAGTCCAAGCGTTGTTTGGTACTCTTTTGTTGATATTTGGGGCATCGAGCGATATAATGCTCTTCTTTACAAAGTAGGCAAGATTTTTCAGACTTTTCAACTTCGCGTTTATTGAGAAAGATCTTGCGGCTTGATTACGAGACTGGGAAAAAGTCTTAGAAAGAGATTTTTCAAACGCTTGAAGGGATAACATACGTGTCATTAAAAACTCTCAAAATTGCTCCTAAGTAGGAGGTTTTTTAGATGATCCAAGATGTTGTTCCCAGACTTTAATAGATTCCGGGTCTAACCGTTGGATCATCATGAAAACAAGTATGTCATCCCAGGAATGGACCGGACGATGCAATGTTTCAAACGTATGGTAGACTTGCATGATAGAAGTATAAAGTTGTTCCATTTCGGCAGCTGATTCTTTTGTCATTTTTTAAATCGAAAACAAGGATTGCAAAGCTGAATGGATTAAAAGTCGATCATTTTCATAAAAAGCTGAAAAGGAATCCCATGCCTTTTAAAAATTTTCAGCAGTAAGAGCGGTGTTCTTTAAAAGGTGGGAAGCGGGACCAACAAGACTAGTCTTGAGATATTGAAGTTTCTCAACAGGAGAAATACTGGCATTAGAAAGTAACTAACGATGAAAATAAGTCTCTAAAAGGCAACCAATCAGACAAAGTTCCGTTAAACTTAGGTAAATCAATCCGTGGTAATCGCGGTCCATGATAATGCGATGTGTTTGCGGTTGAGACTCTGAATGTTGTGATAACGGTGTGTTCAAACCGTTTCGAAAATTTTCCAAAAGAGATGTCATTTTGGCGGCAATTTCCAAATAGCATTCTCTTGTGCTTGTGTAGACATCTTTAATAGAAAAGAAAAGTAAGGGTGTTGTCTTATCTCATAGAAATCGTCAAGAATCGACAAAGCTAAAGTAATGGCCTTATGATTAATGTTAAACTCCTTCCATAGTTTGTTTACAGCGTGCAGTCGAATTTCCACGATGCCGAGTGATCGTTCCGGTACCAATTAGATTGTCAAAGGCCTTGGATATGTCGAGACTTTGAGAATTTTTGGTCAACTCTACGCTCCACGTGTTCATGTCTCATGATTCAATTTTCGAGTCTTTTTAAGCGTTTCTCTCTATCCGGCTCGAAGGACCAAAAAGTTTGAGAATATGTTATGATAGAGAATTTGACAGTTTTATTTTGCTTTATATTCTGAAAATAAAATTAGAAGTTTTAGAAACGGGTAAACAAAACATTTACTTGTGAGAAAGGTGTGAACCGTGATGAGCGTCCCCTTTAAAAAAGTTTAGGTCCATGCAAGTCAAAGGAACTGAACAGGTAAGAGTAGTAACCTTGCACGTCTCATCAGAAGCTTTATGATACCGTGCTTGGCACGTCTCAAGTTTCGGTGAAAGATTCTATGGGCTAGCTCACTATTTGCAGGCTTTCGAAGAAGACAAGAGCCTTCTGCGGAATAAAAAACAAATTCTTTGAAACGTTTCAAACAACTAGAAATCAAGAACGTCTTTTTTGAAGCTTCTTGACAAACGATAACGATACTGTTATTTTGCTTAGCAACGATAGAAAACATTCAGCTTTGTTCATGAAACTCGCACCTAGTTTTGCGAGTGAACACCTCGAACACTCGTGCTGCCCCTTTTTTAAACACAAAATATTAAGAGAAACTAAATTTTTACTAATCCCTTTTTATATTTTGAATTTTTATCGATTGTGCTGTCTTTTGCCACTTTGTGCCGCAAAATGCAGCTGAATATATTAAACCATATTCGAGAAAATAAAAAAAAATTTTTTTACTAGTTCCGCCCTTGAGTGTGTTAAAAAAAATGAGCTTGATTGCGACAAAGTGCAAGGCTAGTAAAAAAATTTTTTTAATTTTCTCGAAAATGGTTTAATATATTGAGCTTAGCGGCACAAAGTGACAACTCTAACACAATCAATAAAACTTCAAAATTCGAAAAGTGCAAGGTTAGCAAAAATTTAGTTTTTCTTACTTTTCTGAAAAATGGTTTAAATTATTGAGCTGTGGTTAGCGGCACAAATCGGCACAAACGTTACACATACGGCACAATAATTACAAATACGAATTATTATTTACAATGTAAATAGTGCTGAAGATGATCACCAATAAAAATTGATCCAAACGTTCGGAATACACAGCGTTTTGTCACATTTAAACGTCCACTTTCAACCTGGACCACAGGCTCTCTGGTTTTTTGTTTAATAAAAATACGAAATTCAAAAAGTGCTGGGCCAACTTCACACACACAATGTCCGGTAATAGCCAACAATCGTTCGTGAGCAGATAGAGCAGAGTTGGGCAAATTTTATTTAAAATAACGAATAAATTACAAATAAATTCGTAAAAATTACTTGCGAATAACGAATAACGGTACAGATTTATTCGTACCTAACCTAACCTAACGAATAAGTTTTTGCAAATAAAATCGATTATTTGTTTATTCGCGAATAAATTTTACGAATTTATTCGTTAATTAAAATATCTCCTCGACGAATAAATTTCCGATCAAATTAAGTAGCATTGGCACACATAAATATTATTACAAAATTTTCAATAATTAAGCTAAATAGACATAAAGAATAAAGAATAGGAAATTATATGCAACTGTGAAGATTCTTTTTTTTTTATGTTCAAATTGTATAAGCAGTTTTTACTTTTATTGAAAATTTAAGAAATGTATCAAATTAATAAATTAAAAATAGACCGTTTAGAGAGTGTACGTACAAAATATATATACAGAATGTCCCATTGTAAAACTTTCACTAAAATATTTCAAAAACACTGCGTTAAATCAACAAATATTTCAAATCAAAGTTTAATGACTAAGAGGGACATAAGATGATACCATTGATTTGACCTTGGGTTGCATTGTCAAGGTCACATCAATTTTGTAAAATAAAACTCTATTTTTTTTATTGCAGATTCTTATAGCCTAACTCAAGAGTTTTCTAAAACACTATAATAAAGTTTATTTTCATTAAGTACTTTTTGACTTATGAAAGTTGAATATTAGAGTATTGCCGATATTAGCATTATGTATTGGCGTTATCATTCATTTTGTGAATGTTGCTTTATCCAAAAAAAAAAAAAACTGTTAAATAAGAAGTTAGGTTCTTTGTCAATTCTCTGCATCATGAATTCACAAAATTCGTTTTAATCGAAATCATCTTCGTAGAAAAAGGCGATACTCTAATATTCAACTCTCATAAGGTAAAAAGTACTTAATGAAAATACTTAATGAAAAGGTGGTGGAGGCACGCATATCTCCTCGGTGTTCTCGGTGCTAGCCGATCAGAGTTTGCCGGCCAAGCAACTCTGCCGGCCAAGCCCATAAGAGTTTTTACAATTGCTTTTCGTGGACATAGTTCTATTTCGTGCTGAGATCACCGACGTGATGGGGATATGCATATAAGCGAGAATTACCATCTGTGTGCGCTCGTAAGAGTTTTTTGCTTGGGTGCGTATCCCTACTACATCGGTGATCTCAGCACGGAATAGAATCGTGTCCACGACAAGCGATCGTAAAAACTCTTATGGACCTAGCTGCTCTCATTCTTCTCTCTGCTACTACTCACTCACTCACTCACTCACTCACTCACTCACTCACTCACTCACTCTCACACACACACACGCACGTACGCACGCACGCACGCGCGCACGCACGCACGCACGCACGCACGCACGCACGCACGCACGCACGCACACACACACACACACACACACACAAAAGAAGTCGCACACACACGCGTTCCTGTGTCAAGTTTGTATTGTACTTACAAGGGGAGGTGTATCAATCGATTTGGACGAAATTTATAGGATCGATAGATGACTATGTGGAATATTGCAGGGTAAAGTAATAAGACGCACTACTCAAGCATTCGCGAGAAAATCGAATTTTGAGTTACTTTATAATATTAAATAGATCGTTTAATCGAGAGAGATATTTATGAATGTCCACGAAGTATGTTTTTCAATAGATATTTTTAAAAAACCATGTGAATGTAAAACTGCAGTGTTCATACAATGTACACACTGTCGTGAAAATTATTGTTTCACTTGTTTTTATGATAAATATCATCCTGCATTATGTATTGTCCTATCTAGTTCCAATAAATAAAACATGTTGCGTATATTTTTACATGTTGTGTACAATTATTTATTAATGTGTACATTTATTTATTATTTATTTTTTTATAAATAAAAAACGTATTACTTACATTTAGATTATACCGTAGAATTTTGAAAAAAAAAAAGTATATCGAGACTCGAACCAGCAGCGTCGACACTACTAACCTAGTACGCTACCGCCACGCTACGCGCTCTTCGATTAAACGATCTAATCTAAATTTAATATCCTTATAAAGTAACTCGAAATTCGATTTTCTCGCGAATGCTTGAGTAGTGCGTCTTATTACTTTACCCTGCAATATTCCACACAGTCATCTATCGATCCTATAAATTTCGTCCAAATCGATTGATACACCGTCGCGACCTTCCCTTGTTAGGTTGCGTTTGGAGGGCGCACTAGTAGCGCTATTGTGTTATTTTATCTTTATTTCTATCTTTTTTAACATTTAATAAGTAATAAAGATAGAATAATGGCGACAGCGCAGATAGCGTGCCTAAACGCAATCTTAATGACTCAATATTTAATATATTATATGCTGTTATATTTACTTCTTCTATTGTCGCCGCGCGCGTAGCAACTGTAAGTGTATGAAACGCTAAGCCCTTGCACACGGATAAATGCTTCTTTGCGGATTTTTAATTAAATTGTTACTATTTTGTGAATTTCGCAAAATAGTAAGACTTTTTGATTCAGAATAACCTCTTTTACTGTTCACAAACGGTATTACAGCTGTTACTAGACACTCTGTATATAACAAAAATCATAAACAACATATTAAAAGTATGCACTTGCCTAGATAATCATCCATCAACGTTCCAATAGCAAACTGAAAAAAGAAGTAAATAATACAAGAATGTAAAATGAAAAAAGTACAGGGTAATGCAATAATGTAATAATTAAATAAGCCTATGAAAAGATAAAATAATTGAAGCAAATGCGAGCTACACCATAAGATATGTGATTACACTATATGTGATTTAGTAAATATTAAAAAAAAACTACAAATCGACTTCTTTATTTAGATCTTCTTCAGTGTACAAACTACAGTATACAAACGTAAGAAATTTCCAGCATATGCAAAATATTTCAAAAATTAACAAATAAATAATGGATATTACCAAAACTAATTGAAATAAAACTTAGCAGGATGACCATAGTGTACCCATAATGCAAAGTATAATTTTATTACTCCCTAGCAACACTAGAGAACACCGAAACTACTTTACATTAAATGTACAAATAGTAAATTTCTTGTTTTTACATACTAGGGTTTACTAGTTTATAAAAGAGAGGATAAGATCAAAACGGTTGTAGTTTTTTTTATATTCGATAAATCATACACATGTACAGTAGGGAGCACCATATCGTGCGGCTCCAGGGGAAATATTTCTCGGAAATCTTTTTTCTAGCTGCTCCTATTACTGCGCGCTGCTCTCCTTCGATCTCTGCCAGCAGCCCGAGATCGAAGGAGAACGACGCGCGATAGTAGAAGCAGTCAAAGGAGAAATTTCCGAAAGATACTTCCCCTGGAGCCGCACGATATGGTGCTCCCTACTGTACATCTTGTATTTCGGCTCGCATTTGCCTCAATATTCTGCTTTAAAGTAATGAATTTCACATTCTCACTTTAAAGATACGATACTAACAATTCCATTGGCATCAACTCTAGTACCCACTATCTTCAATCGGATTTCATCATCAGCCTGGATTACAACATCCTATAAATATTTACATTTATATATTAAGATGTGTTTATTAAAGTAAATATAAATAAAATTTATATATACAGGGTGTCCCAGAATTGGTTTAACATCTCTCGTAGACAGGTAGAAGGAATAAAACTGAGGTGAAAAGTCCTATACCATTTTGCTAGATTCGCAATAGTTACCGAGATTTTAATTAACAAAGATCCGCAAATAAGCGTTCATCGGGCTGTCTTACGCGCGTAGGACAGCCCAGCGCGCTTCACACAATTACATTTTAATATGTATATGTTATAGTATATGCTGTTATATNAGCTCCTCCCATATGTCGCTATGGGTAACACCGTTAGCGCGCGAAGCGCGGCGGGCAGTCTTACGCGCGTAAGACAGNCCGATGCATGCTTATTTGCGGATCTTTGTTAATTAAAATCTCAGTAACTATTGCAAATCTAGCAAAATGGTATAGGACTTTTCACCTCAGTTTTATTCCTTTTACCTGCCTACGAGCGATGTTAAACCAATTCTGGGACACTCTGTATATAACTATTGTTTTCTCATAATGTATATTTTATTTTGTAAACATCTTACTTCTTCTTTTGACTTGTAACAAGCTGGATTTACATTTGGGCAAAACTGCATGTCTTCAGGGATTGACTACACAGAAATTTAGTAATTTATTATATTATCTTATATACACTAAATTATTTTAAGACTCATCGATATCTCCATTAAGTCCAAATTAACAATAGCGATATCAGCATCACAAGAACTATTAAAAATAAGAAAGCATGAAATGTTTCGCTTACTGTTTGTATTTAAAATAAAATAAATGTATATGTTTGTACTAAAATATATAATAAAGAAAAACAAAATACAGTAAAAAATATAAACAATATCAACAAAACTACGTTACGAAGCGGTCAAGATTCGTGCACTCTGTGTATGTACGTATGGGTATATATGCATTGGTGTCCCGCAACTATTGTATTTCCTTTACCAGCAAATTCTCGAGATCATTTTAAGATAAAATTCCTACTACCAAAATGTCGAGGCTATAATAATTTTGAGTTGTAAGCATTCAAAAATACCGAACCAGATCGCTTGAAATTTGCGCACTCAGATGCGGTACAATGCTAAAGGCGCAAACAGTATCGCCCCTCTTTTGTCAATAAAGGGTATGTTATAATAATGAAACAAAAGTTTGCATCAATTAAAATTTGTATTTCTAACATTGTACATGCAGATAATAACAGCTGATAATTGTGCAGTTTAATACCTTTTCCCAATTTTGGTTATTTTAATCCGAGTTTTTAAAAAACTGTTTTATTTTGTCAATACAATAAGGAATCAATCGAAAGAGCTTGATAAAATAATGCGCTTTCCTTCTTATTTTTAAAAAAACGTAAAATTCGAAAATTCTTCATAATTAGGCAAGGAAACTCGTTTTAATCGAGCACCTCAAAGAAATATAAATCCAACCGTGCGATCTCCACGCAGTATATCTTGGGTAATATTAACGCCGGCGGTACTTAAATTTTGAAGTCTCATTACTTAGGAAGATCTCAACTAAAAAAGGTTTGTAAGCAGTGTTTCGAAAATGCCTTGATGTCAGCTACAAGAATATGCAATAAAAATTATGAGTTCCTATTTAAAAAATTCAAGTTGACCTTGACATGACCTTCGCGATGCCACTTAAGGTCAATCGCATATGCCAATGTAATGCATTACTTGTTCTCCAACAACTTTTGTCTGAAACATTTTTCAAAATAACCATTTCCCTCGTTTTTAAGTGGATAGCGCAGATGATGTATATGATCCGAACCTATCGAAACCTTAATTTATCAAGTAGTATTTACAATGTCAAAGACAAATTAACTATATCAATAAACCTCTATACTGTCTTGTGCTATAAAAATAATTACAAATACAAAATCTTTATTCCTTATATCTTAAAACATCTTTAAAAAACCTTGCATTTTTACCACATATCCCATAGGGGTGGGTTATTTGGCCATGTATGGATGGGAATACAAGTCATATAAAAATCTTAAACTACAACACTTTTGTCTTCCAATAACATCTTTCAATATTTACTTGTGTAAGATACATTAATATTATGCATTAAGAGTATGTATTAGTAATAAATACTAGACAAGAGTTGCTAAAATACATGAGGTGAATACTAAAGTTAGCTCGCTGGATAAATTTTAGTACTGCGCATGCCCGCGCAGACGCAAGCGCTACAGCACGGGACATATATCCCACATGATAAAATTGCCAAATATTCCAAACTGGTAGAATATGTAAGGACCTCCGCACAAACTCTTTCGTAACGCGTTACGTTAAGTTGGCCGTGAACTTAGATTCGTACGTAAACTTGAACTTCATTCAACGCACAAACTAGTACTTAACGTAACGTTATGTGTTACGAAAGAGTTTGTGCGGAGGCCTTAAGACAGCTAGCTAAATAAAGAATACAAGAACTACGTTGTAATTTGCTATACTTTATCCTTTATAACCCTCCTACATATATATTGCAAAATAACCGCTAAACGTTTTATAAATCTTGTGGTAATCATTTTATATATCCTTAAAATATGATTGCGTTACTTATCACGTTGACAAATTGACTAAACTGACGATATTTTCGGTAATTGTAACAATAAACAAATAAAATCAATATACTAATATAACATAAAGGCACGTAACAAAGTAATTGTACGTACATTATTCTCACTTCTTCTATTTTTTCTGCTCTATGCGGCATAAAACCCAGCGCGGCTCATATCCCGGAGTTACCTTATAAATATATGTACATTTGTAAAAGTTGAGAACACACCGTTTGAAAATTTTGAAAAATTTTGTAAGGTTAAGTTACGTATAGTACAAGTTTGTACTGTTCCCACACACACTGTATATATCGCGTTCCATTTACTGTGGCAAACTGTACTCGAGTGTGTTAATCTGTGTCGATTTGTGTTTCCTAAAAGAAAAACAGCCTTTTTCTTTGCAATAGTGTGCATAAACACTGAAGAAGATTCCGTAGTGAATCGAAACGTTCGTCAAATCTCTGAATAAAGAAAACTTTTTCCCATACATCAGGTGTACAGCTCATTATTGTCTTCTCCCTTCCTTCTTATTGAAATATAACACGAGCACGAAACATATAATTATTAAAAAGACTTAACGCTCGTGAAATTGTCAACAGGAATCAAATAAGGCCGATACGAGCCATTCGCAGGATGTTTGTGCGGAAACTATGCGTGTACATATATATATATATATATAAATGTAACGAATTCTACTTGTAAATTTTTACAAGTATTTTTTGAATTGAAATCTCAATTCTTAAAATCATACGGGATGCTGGATTTGCATCTCATATGAAAAACCCCGGATACCCCCCTAACTAATTTTTAAAATATTGCGAAAAAAACTCCTCGGCCAGGAGTCGAACCTGGAATCTCCGGCTTTCCGTGCCATCGCCTTCCCTGTTAGGCCACCGAGGCACTTGGAGTTAGTCTCGCAATACTCATACATATATCGAAGATGGTCTGATAATGTTGTTAACGCTAATTTTCAGCCAGCGTAATTTAAAAGACTTAACGCTGTTTTGAGAAAGACTTTGCGAGTTTTAAGTGTAAGTGAAAATTGTAAGAAAGAATATTATAACAATAAAAAGTGAATAAAATTGTTTTTTTTTTTTTTAAACTAACTAACAAAGGGAGACTACGTCGATGGAACAATCAATTTGGACGAAATTTAAGATCGATAGATGATTATGTGGAGTATTGCAGGGTAATAAGACGCACTACTCAAGCATTCGCGAGAAAATCGAATTTGAAAATTTTGATGTACCTTATGAGGATATTAAATAGGCTGTTTAATCGAAGAGCGCGTAGCGTAGCGGTAGCGTACTAGGTTAGTAGTGTCGACGCTGCTCGAGTCTCGATATATATATATACTTTTTTTCAAATGTTACAATATAATCTAAATGTAAATATTACGTTTTTTATTTATTTATTGCATGTTATAAAAGTGTATTTTTTGCATAAAAAATAGAAGATGTACCTGGTTCTTCATCGAATGAATGTGATAGTACATCAATTCACAGTGACNAGTCAAAATTACTGCTAAAAGATGCCATTGTTTATCTGGAACAATTACTTTTCGAAAATGATCTTCCATTTTAATGTATCTTCCAATTTAATTAGCACTGCACACTTTTCTTCTTTTCTGTCTACTTTCGCTGTTACTAGTCAAATGGATGAAATCTTGTTTCTCACAATGTAACGGAAATTTTCTCGTGTTTACTTATTGTCTGTTTTCTACTTTACAAGGATATAATATTTTCTTTCAAAGGTATAACGTTCAACAAATATTACAAAGAAATGTGTGTGCTTTAAAACATGTTGCATATAGTTTTACATGTTGCGTACAATTATTTATCCGTTTTTTACAAACAGAACGCAAATTAGTAACAATCTAATTATTTTTACCGTATTTTTTACATCACGGATTTTTTATGCAAAAAATGCACTTTTTTATAACATGCAATAAATAAATAAAAAACGTAATACTTACATTTAGATTATATTGTAACATTTGAAAAAAAGTATATATATATATCGAGACTCGAACCAGCAGCGTCGACACTACTAACCTAGTACGCTACCGCTACGCTACGCGCTCTTCGATTAAACAGCCTATTTAATATCCTCATAAGGTACATCAAAATTTTCAAATTCGATTTTCTCGCGAATGCTTGAGTAGTGCGTCTTATTACCCTGCAATACTCCACATAATCATCTATCGATCCTATAAGTTTCGTCCAAATCGATTGTTCCATCGTCGTAGTCTCCCCTTGTCAGAGACATGTCCTTGATAATATATGTCAAAGCCAAGGTCATCGAGGCTGGGTCCGTTTTTGTAAACATTTCCTGAATAATTTCATAATTATAGAATAAAAAAAAACAAAATTATAGAACAAAAATTTTAATTAATTTTGATATTGAGGAATTTCCTCAGGTTCCTACTGGTTATGCCAAAATTATAACACCTCACTAGGGCTGTTGAAAAAATTTTAATATTCATACTTTAACGAAATATAAATAGCTAAGTTACGTCTCGATAATTCCTAGAACTGCTTCAAGCGATGGATGCTCACTCGCTCGAAGCAGTTCCAGGAAATGGAGATAGCGTGCATTACTGTATATGCTTTGTTATTTTTTTAAATATCTTTAAAAATAGTGCTCAAATAAAAAAATGTTTCTTACAAAAGGTGCTTATTTTTTTGCGTAGAAAAAGGTCCCGTAAAAAATATAGGTTTCTATTAAAAAAAAACAAAGTTAACTTCCTTCAAATAACCTTGAAAACGCTCTCTAAATAAAAACTTGATAATGCCGTTCTCTTTTGTCCTCAAAATCATGGAAAATGATTGAGTGTTTTAGCTTTTTTTGTATCTTTCACACTTTTCAAGATAATTAGCTAAAAAGTTTTTAAAAAATCACTGTATATATGTAAATTAAATATTTTATATATTTAAGATGTTTTTTTTTGACAAAGTACACTTAAAACATATTGTTATGGTCAAAGCCCGAAACACAAACGTTTTTAAGATTAATTGGTCAATGCGTGGAAGAACCAAGCGTCTT